CCCTCATCCTATGGTAAATTGAGGTGATGAGGACACAATAAATCTGGCAATGCAATTATGTCACAAAGGTTGTCACAAAGTTCCTGTCTACCCATAGAGGTGTTATGCATTTATTTTTAAACATGAACATACTTTGAAAAGATTAAAACCATCATTAAAAAGGCTTAGTAATCAGACAAAAAAGGCCATACATCGTATGATTTCATTTACATAAAATGTCCAGAACAGGCAAACCCAGAGACAGAAAGTAGTTGGGTGGCTTGGAGGGACTGTAGGAGGGGGGATGGGGAATGACTGCTAATGGGTACAGAGTTTCTTCCTAGAGTGATGAAAATGCTCTGGGATTGGACTGCAGTGACAGTTATATGAACCTGTGAATATACTAAATGCCACTGAACTGTACACTTGAAACGAGTGAATTTTATGGTATGTGAATTATATCTCAATTCTAAAAGAGCTTAGTCAATCTGAAAAATCTACATAATGTATAATTCCAACTATATGACATTCTGGAAAAGGCAAAATTATGGAGACAGTAAAAAGATCAGGATTTGGGCAAGGGAAGGGACAAACAAGCAGAAAACAGGATTTTTAGGGTAGTGAAAATGCTCTGAATGATACAATAATGGTAGATACATGCCATTATACATTTGTCCAAGCCCACAGAATGTAAACCATCAAGCGTGAACTATAATATAAACTATGGACTGGATGATTATGATGTGTCAACATAGTCTCATCAATTGTAACACAGGTACCACTCTGGTAGTGAATGTTGATAATGGGGGATGGGCCTGCATGTGTAGGGGTAAGGGGTAGATGGGAAATCTCTGTGCTTTCCACTCAATTTTATTGTGAACCAAAAACTGCTCTTAAAAAATAAAATATTAATAAAATAAATAAGTTTAGTAAAAGCCTTAGACATTGCTATAATATTTGAATAGGATCTCCCATGAGAAACAATCATGGTTCCTTTATCACTTTATGTTTTATTAGAACTTATAAAGATGCTCTTAACTCCCCAAAAGGACTGTTTTTAAAGATTCCA